TGCCGACGCCGCCGACGGCACGGACCAGGTTTGCAAGGGAGATCCTGCCGCTGCGACCAGCGCTCGGCAGCCAACCCAGTGATCGCAGGTAAGGTGCACACAGACAAAACAGTCCGGCCGAAACCCTTTGAGCCCGCGCCGCCATCTTGCACCATACAGTCTGCCTCCCTGCGGTCCAGCAGGCACAGCGCCAGGATGCGCCCGCTCAGCTCTGCCGGCAGGGACGACACGCCCCGCTGCTCCCGTGCCAGGCTGAGCGCCGCTGCCCGCAGCCGCTTGCGCTGCCCCTCTGCCAGCCGCCCCACCAGCCACCCCGCCTCGGCCGCCTATCGCTGCAGCACGGCTGGCAGCGCTCGAGCCAGGTCGGGGCAGTGCGCAGGAATCGACAGCCACTGATCCTGCCTGAGTGGCAGGCATGCCGCTGGCATTAGGTCGGCAAAGAGGCAGGCAGAGTGATGGCTGTACCGCTGCAGGATGCGCAGGGCTTGCTGCACCGCTGCCGCCGCCCGCAGCAGGCAGCTCGCTGTCTCCGCGACTTGCTCTTCTGTGCCGTAATGCAGCACCAGGTCCAGCGGCGTGCGGCAAAAGCATCCAGCACAGGAGCATCCGATGCACAAACCACCTCTGGTGCCGCCTTCAGCAGCAGCCGTACGAGTACTTGGCAGAGCAGCTGCTGACGCTCGTGTTCCGTCCCTCGCTAATGAGGTACATGCAGGCGGCGGTGCAAGTGGTGTGAGAAGCTCCCTCGCCACCTGTCCCTCTGGACCACCGGCCAGCCCGCCACCACCAAGCACGCATGCCACCACGATCCTCACCATGATGGCCTCCCAACAGCATATGGTGTGGGTGAAAGATGCAGCGTCTTGGCCACTGGCACCCCGACATGTCGGTCTGGAAGCTGTTGGGCCCTTGGCTGCCACGACGTGCCACTCTTCAATATGTAAAGCGGCACAATCATGCCTTCATGTCCGCCACCCGCTGCCCGCCTACTGGACCTTGCAGGTTGCACGCTTTGTGAGCAACCTGCAGGCTATGGGCGGCGAGCGGGTCGCCCGTCTTGCCATGCTGGATAGCGTTGCGCTGGCTGCCGACACGGACACAGGGCTGCCACTGGCCCGGCAGCCCTGGGCAGCGCAGGTTAGCCGCGTTCTCGCGGCGGCCGGCGCCCCCTGCGACTTGACTGCTGACGAGGGGGTTGCCATACCTGAATTGGCGGAAGCGCTCCTGGAGCGCCATGTTGCCTCGTACACGCATGCATCCGTGAAGGTGCAGCGGTACATTGAGGACGTGTGGGGGGGCAGCATCTCTGCGGAGGCCTACACGCATGCGTCGTTCCTGTGCGATGTGCCCGAGCGCCGGCGCCGGGTGCGCCTGGCGCACGGGGTCGCACTGGATGGCTGAGGAGACAGGCCGGTGGCAGCGGCTGGACCGCACCCAGCGCCCATGCCCCCACTGCCAGGCCCCTCTTAGGTGGGGAAGAGCCTCCACAAGCTTAACTTCCCGGTTTTAACGTCTAGCTTTAGACCATTATTTGATCTGCCCGACGCGCCAAGTGCAGTACCCCCCACTAGTAGTGAATGGGTCCCGGGGAGGCCTGTGCCGAAGCCTTGGCGATTCTATTAGGCGTTCCCGAAGGAATTGGCTTGGATTGGCGCTGAGCCGGTCAGCTATGCCGCGTTTGTCCTCACAAAGTTTCGACATGGGAGGAATCGAACCTGTGCCCTCTCGGAGGGTTTAGACACTAGCTCCAGCGCCTTCAAAGAAGGCCTTTCTTAGCCGCGGCCTGAACCCTAACCCTCTAGAGGACGTACGCCACGCAGTGTATGACTGCCCCCTATACGCTGGGCTGAGGGAGGAGTATGCTGAGCTCTTCCACAGTCCCGGCCACGCCTTGCCCTCCCTGGCCGCCTTCCTCGGCCAGGCCAGGCAGGGCCGGCTGGCCCGGTTTGCCGACCGGTGCCATGAGGAGCATGCTGCTGCCCTGGCACAGTGACTCCCCCGGTTCCCTTGAGTAGGGCCCAGGCATCTTTTGCCCGGCCTTGGCTCCCGACCCACCCCCCTCCCCCCGCAGGTAAGAGCAGCGTCAGCGTCAGCAAGCAGCGGTCAGCGGCAGCCCCACCACCCCCACCTCCACCTCACACACTCACTGGCCCCTTGCGCGTTGGCACGCCGGCATGTTGGCATGGGAACGCCAAGCCCGGCACGGTAGCGGCGGCTGACTGAGTAATGGCACAGCCGACCGCCGCGGCAGGCCACTTTGCACTCCTGCCTGCAATGCATGCACCCTTACATGTGCAGCCTTCTGGTATTTTCATGTGCCTGGGAGATGTGCGGGCATGGGGGCCCATGTGCCCCATGCCATTTGAGTGCCCGGCGGCGGCGCTGCCTGCCGCCGGGAGCCCGCACCAGCATCGGCACCCGTCGGCCTGGCAGGCCTAAGCTGCTAAGGATCCCCACGTCCCCCACCACGTTGTGGGGGTTGCGTGTCCGGCAGGACGGGGAGCGGGGCCAGGGTGGGGTGACCCTGGGACGCTCAGCTGGGGGGAGGGTGGTCGGAGCCATGGAGAGGGTGCTCCATGGTCCACCCCCTCTCTTGATGCCCCTTGATCACGTGTGCCCCCTGCCCAAGGTCTGCTCACGCGGCCTATCATAGCGGGGTGACTGTAACACAGGCTAACGCCCACCCACTCTTTAGCGAGGAATGACGCTGTGCCTGCCCGCCTCCCCACCAGCCACCCCGCCTCTGCCGTCGATCGCTCCAGGACGGCTGGCAGCGACCGAGCCAGGTCGGGGCAGGGCGCAGGAATGGAGTGCCACTGCTCCTGGCTGAGCGGCAGGCGAGCCACCAGGTCGGCAAAGAGGCACGCAGAGCGCTGGCTGTACTGCAGCAGGATCTCCAGGGCTGGCTGCACCGCTGGCGCCGCCCCCAGCAGGCGGCGGGCCGTCTCCATGACTTGCTGTGGTGACGTGTTAATCCCGTTACGCAGCACCAGGTGCAGCGGTGTGCTGCCATAAGCATCCAGTGCAGACGCCAGCTCTGGTGCCGCCTCCAGCAGCAGCTGCACGGCTGCTGCGTTGTTGAACAAGGCAGCACGGTGGATGGGGGCCTGCTTGCATGCCGTGAGCATTGTGGCTGCAGCGGGTCCCCTCGACAGCAGCAGTCTCACCACTTCGTCCCCACAGCCAGCAGCATGGTGCAGCGGTGTGAGGCCGACACTGTCCACTGCCATGGCTGTGGCTGGGGCAGCCTCCATCAGCAGCTTCACCACTCCCTCATGACAGAGCCAGCTGGCAAGGTGCACAGGCAGTGTGCCGTGAACGTCGAATCGATCCACCCGAGCGCCTGCCGCCAGCAGCTTCCGCACCGCCGCCTCGGAGCTGCGTGAGGAGAAATGCCTGAGGAGAACTGCCTGAACAAGCTCGTCTCCCATCGCGCGCACAGCCTTCCAGATAGTCCTGCAGCCAGCGGGCGGGCGGGTTGGCGGCAGCGGCCCCAGCTGCAGCCAGGCAGCGCCCCTGCAAACGCAGGCTGCTGGCAGGGTGCTCCTCCCCACCCAGCCACTGCTGCCAGGAGGTTCACCTGGGGGAACGAGGCGAGCACCTGGAAGAGAGAGCAGCCACAGCCCGACAAGGTGTGCCTCTCGCTCGCTGCTGCCCGTTTGTTGTAGTACAAACTCCTTCAAGCTATTCAGGAGGGGGCACGAGCAGGCTGGGGTGCCGCGCTGCGCTGTGTCACAGCAGGCCGCCCCGCCGCGCCTTCCCTTCCTCCCTCCTGCGCCACATTTGGCATCGCAGCGAAGCGCTTTCTGCCATGCCCCAGATGGTGCCTGCTCCTCTCCCCTCCCACCAGCCCCTGCCATCCGACCGGCCATGCTGTGGCTTGAGTCGGTGCGGATTAAAATTGTGCTGGCTGCCAACAGCAGAAAGGGGCCAAACAAGAACTTCATGTTGAACACGAAAGATGTACAGAAGCGGTTCCAGCCTGATGGAATGAGCAAGCGCGTGTGGAGGTAAGGGCGCCGGCCATGCCGCTGCTTGGCTGCAGCAGGGAGTCATGCGTCCGGCAGGCACGGCGCCAGGATGCGCCCGCTCAGCTCTGCCGGCAGGGACGGCACGCCCCGCTTCACCCGCGCCAGGCTGAGCGCCGCTGCCCGCAGCCGCTTGCGCTGCCCCTCTGCCAGCCGCCCCACCAGCCACCCCACCTCGGCCGCCGAGCGGCGCACGACGGCAGGCAGCGCTCGAGCCAGGTTGGGGCAGGGCGCAGGAATGGAGTGCCACTGCTCCTGGCTGAGCGGCAGGCAGGCCACCAGGTCGGCGTAGAGGGTGGAAGAGCGCTGTCTGTGCTGTAGCAGGATGCCCAGGGCTGGCTGCACCGCTGGCGCCGCCCGCACCAGGCAGCGGGCTGTCTCCACCATTTGCTCTGCTGTGTTGTGGCCGTACTGCAGCACCATGTGCAGCGGGGTGTCGCCAACAACATCCCGTGCAAAAGCCAGCTCGGTGCCGCCTCCACCAGCAGGCACACCGCGCAGCCCGTGTTACAAGTCACCCCGCGTGAGCAGACCTGGGGCAGGGGCAGCCAATCTTGTCGGCTTAATCCGCCCGCGCCTGCAGCCAGGAGCTGAAGCACCGCCGCCTCGTCGCCAAGTCGAGCTGCCTGATTGAGCTTGGCTGCCATCCCAAACACCACCGACCAGGCAGCCCAGACTGCAGCACCCCTGCACGTGCAGGCCGCTGGCAGTCATGCGGGCTTGCTGCTGCTGAGCGGCGCAGCAAAGTGCCGTACCGTCTCGCTTGCCTCCAGCTGTGCGACTGCTGCAACGCGGAGATGCCGCCGGCTGCTGCAATGGTTGCGCTGGAGTGGGGGCTGTCACGCTATGCGCCGTCTGGCAGAATGTCCATACAAATTCGGCGCTGTCATCTGAGAAGTTGCGGAGCGCCACGCATGGTTCCCCCTGCAAGGCCTCGCTGCCATGCGCTGGCCAGTGTGGACAACATGCTGCTCAGGCGCACCCTGGCAAGCCGCCCGCCACCCGCCGGACCGCCGCTGCCTCGTTCAGCATCCAGCAGTTGCCCAGCAGCAGCCAGGCCGCCACACACAGCTGCAGCCCGCAGTAGCCCTCGCCGCAGCACAGTTCCATCAAAGCTGCATTTGCACGGTCCCACGTGCGGCCGACTGCAGCCGCCGCTGCCGCAGCTCTACCCCAGGGCTGCTCCGCTGCTTGTTGGTGAGCCGTGGGCAGGTGGGTCAGAGGCGCGGCGCGGGCCGTCCAGGTGGCAATAACGACTGGCAGCAGCAGACCAAACACGGTCTGATGCATGACTAAAACCGCCAGGCAATGCAGCTCGCTCTGGGCTTCAGGGGCTGCAAGGGCAGTCCAGCAGTGGGCTGTGATTGAGGAGAGCAGGCAGGGCTTGGAAGCGTATGGAGACAGGCGGCATTCTGGCACAAACCCTCTCAACGATCCAGGCAAACCCTCCCTCCATGGCTGCCTACCCAGCCCTCTGCAACGCTGCGCTGCCCACCTGCCAGCAGGTCGCGCTGGTGCTGGTGCGGCTGCCCAGGCTCCGCACGCAGCAGGCCCAGGTCTGGCAGGACGGCCAGAGCCTTCCACGCCCCGGGCAGCCGTGCCCTCGTCAGCGGGTGCGTCAGCAGCGGCGAAGCGCAGTGCGCAACGTTGTGGGACGTGGCAGTCATGAGGAGAATGAGCACCACCTGCTGGGCCAGCACCGCCAGCGGCGGAAGCGGCAGGGCCATGCCCACCACGGCCGCCTGCAAGACCCGGGTGCCTGCAGGCGGCGATCGCAAAGGTGGGGTTGGAGGGCCGGGTACCGCTGCTGGCAGCATCAAAGTGCTGCGAGAACAGCCAGCACAGCCCTCGCTTGGCTGAGCCAGCCCAGACAACACCGTGCTCAAGCACACCCACCGGTGGCCAATCGCAGCCAGTCCGCGGCAGCCCCAGCGGCACCGGGCGAGGCTGGCCGCAGAAGGAGCAGTCCCACTCCCTCCTGCAGAGCAGTTGAAGGCACAGAGCAAGGAGTGTGGGCATGCGGGCAGCCTATGCTGTGTGGCGGCATGCTTACCGCAGGCAGGGCATAGCACGGCAGCTGCTCTTTGGCTGCACTCTGCAGCTGCGGCTGCGGCGAACAAGGGTTCGGCAGTGAGGGTGGGCAGGCGCACACCTTTGTCGAAAGGCGTGATGCCATGTATGCCATGGCTGTTTGCAAGCCGACGATGACCAACACTCTGCACGGGAGAACGGGGACAGACAAGAAAGGACAGTGGACAGCAACGGGAAGCGGGCAAGGTTGCCTCAAAGGTGCATATGATGTGTGTGCAGGACGTGCTGAGGATGCACACTCACCTGTAGTGCAGCCAGGCAGCCTGCGTCATGCTCAGCAAGGTAACCAGAGCAGTTGCCTGGAGGGCCAGCAATCCTGCCATGTGTTGCCGCCAGCTGCTGTGTTCGAGCACCAGCGCGGCCTCTGCCGCCGCTGTGCGTCGCCACATGATCGTCTGACCCAGCAGTAGCAGAGCAAAGGCTGTCAGCTCCATGCGCCGCACCAGCCATATCTGGGTCTGCAAGTGGGCCGGCGGCACACGTGCCGCCTCCTGCTCCTGCCTGTTGTCGGGCAGCGGCGAGTGCGCCCTGCTCCTGCTCCCACCGGGCGGGCGCTCAACGCCCCGGCTGCTCACATTGCCGCTGGACCGTGCCAATGCCGATGCCATTCTTGCCAACGGGCGCTGCAGCTGCTGTGTTTGGCGAGAAATGCCGGGTGGGCATGCATCCATCGCCATCCCTCCCAAGACACCCCTATAATTGCTGCGGATGTGCGCAGTGAGTATCGAGCCGTGCAATCACCCAAACCCGCTGCAAGACGTCCACGGCGGGGATGGGTGAGGGACCAGGACAAACGGTACCCAAGATGAGACACTACAGGATGATAACAGCTGCAAGAGCGAAATAATTTGAACGGCGCGCGATGCGCCGCGCATCCCGCCACATCGCGCCGCCACATCCCGCCAGCGGGGCGCCACCTGTGTGCGCCCAGACCGCATCAGCACTTTTCAAGTCGCAGATGGGTGGGCAGCGGCCAGGAGGGGCAGCCAGCCCCTGCACAAGATCCCCAGGTTCGATGGCGTGCCACCCGTCAGACGGGGCATCCTCCGGCTCTACACAGCAATGCACGGCGCCCAGAGCGCTAGCGTGCCGCACCGGCGCCGCTCCTGAAGGCCTTTCAGCACCTTTTTCAGCAAGCCCAGTTACAGCAAGCCCCACAGCACAGTTGTACAGCTTCTGCCTGCCCTGCCAATACCCTGTGCCCCCTTCTTGGGGGGGCCAGCGCTGCCCTGCCGCCAGTCCATCGCAAGCGCTCCAACTGCTAGCGCTCGCCGGGGCAACAGGCCGGCTGCCGCCTTTCCCAGGTTCAGTCTGCAAAGAAGGAGTAAGTGCTTGCATCCACGACGATCTGCTGCACGCTGCCCGCCACCGCGCACACTGTCAGCACCAGGCACAGCAGGTTGAGCGCCTCCAGCAGCCACCAGGCCCTTCTGCTGGGCTTGTACACACGGATGTACCTGCGGCGCAGACAGCGCCGGGGCCGGGGGCGGGGGGGAACAGTCTGGAGCTAAACCAGGAGAGGGCGCAAGCGATGCAGGCTGGCGGCGCTGCTCAGCGCAGCGGGATGCCTCACATTTCGATTGGGAACAGAACCTGCGGCGCCGGAGCGGTGCGGGAGGGGGAAGGCAAGAGAGAGGGCAGGGCAGGGCAGTGAGCAAGCACGGCGGGCAGGCCCACAAAGGCAGGTGGTGCGTACACTGCACACGATAGGCAGAGCTCACCGTGGCCGGCCAGAACCCGAGCGCGCCGACCAGTCCGACCTGCGTTTTTCAATAAGGAAGATCAGCTTCGGTAAAGGTAAAACAATCTACAGTTTCAGGCAGCTACTAACCATGTCAGAGAAGAAAGGAAGCATCATGCTGATCGCCGCCACGACGGCCACGTCTGCACAGCAGCAGGGGGGCAGCGCCAGGGGCATGCGGCAGCGGCGCGCATCAGCCCAGGCGAAGCGCCAGCGCTCCCGTCCCCTCCCAGCTGTGCCTGCGCCCTGGCAGGGGCAGGCAGCGGATGCCCTCTTCCCCGCCGGCAGGGATGCTCACAGAAGCAGCGGCCGGAGATGACGGCGGCGCGGGAGGAGGCATAGGCCGGGAAGCGTGGGCTGTGGCGGATCCAGCCCTCAACAAAGAAAAACACGGGCTGGGAGTACACCTGCAGGCAGCCATGTGTGCAACGTAACAGGAGCAGAATGCCGGCAGACATGCTGTTGTTTGGTACCGCTGACGCCCATGCTGAACTCAATGCTGAGGCAGCAGCTGTGCCGGACAGCTGGTGCAGCGGCTGCAAGCTCTGGTGTGCAGGTCACTGGCAGCAGCGCCTTGCCTGATAGGCTGGAAAGATGTGGATGAGGACCTGCAAGGGCAAAGGCACAGGGACAATGGAGCGGGGCTGCGGTGGGCACAACGGTAGGGGGGCCAGCCAGCCGCTGGGTGGCGGCGCTCCCAGCCTCGGGGTGGTCCGCATCCCGCCACAGGGCCAGCCCAGGCCCAGGGAGCGGCGGTGTATCCAGCCCACCATCGTGTTGGCGGCGATGAGCAGCCAGCGCGGGGAGGAGTAGCAGGTGAGCACGTTGCCGCCGGTGCCGCACGGCACGTCGCCAAACGCCTGCGGGGAGCGGGGCCAGGGCCAGGGGTCGGCGGCGCAGGTGCAGGTGCAGAGGCAGAGGCACAGCGCTTGGAAAGCATGGAAGCATGCACCCACCAGGTACCCAAACACTCCAACCGACACAAAGAAGAAAGTGATTATGACCATGGCCCAGTTGACTGCCTTGCGCATTTGCACCACCTGCGAGGCAGAAAAACAGCACGCACGTACCCGCCCCGTGGACCAGGGGCACGCGCGACCAAGGCCTGGTGCTGCGGGTAGGCCCGCGCAGGGGCCAGGTAGGGGCTGCGCCCCAGGCCAGGTGGCAATCACGCCACGCACCTGCCACCGCTGCCGGTCGTCCCGCGCGGGCGCGGCGCCGGGGAGCGGGCCGGCGTACGCGGCGCTGCCGCCGCTGGCCAGGCTGCTGCCGTCCTTGGCGTTGGGGTCCTTCAGCGTTGAGGCGCTGCTGGCGCTGGGTGCGGCGAGGAACTGGCTGTCGCCAAAGCCGGGCGGGGCGTCGGCCACGGTGTCCATAATCTCAATCAGCTGCAGTCAGTTCGGGGTCGTGGTGTGTGTACTGTGAGTGTATGTGTGCTTGTGTGTGTGCTTGTGTGTGGGGTTGAGGGATGGGGGGGCAGCAGGCAGCGTGGCACAACATCGAAGCACCAGGCAGGCCTCGGCGGACATCCCGAGCAGCAAGCCTGCCGGTGCCTGGCCCTGCGCAGCAGCCGGGCTCGGGCGGCGGCGGGCAGCGCCACTCACGATCATGGAGAAGGCATAGGCAAAGATCTGCAGGCAGCCGCCAGGCAAGGGGCGGCATGTGTTGGTTTAGAATCGTTGCTAGTGGGGAAGCACGGGCAGGGCTTGGCTGGCAGCCTCGAGAAGCCCAGCTGCTGGGCCGGCCGCCAGGAAGTGGGACAGCTCTGTCGGGTGTCAGGCCCTGCTCTCCCAGCTCTCTCAGCAACCAGAGCACGGCCAGCACAGCCCAGCACTCACCACGTTGCCAAACGCCCCGAAAATGCCCCACACTTTGTCGCTGCTCTCCCGCCCGCCCAGCGTGCCGTGCACGTTGCCTGCACGCACGAACGCAGCGGCAGGGTGCCGCGGGGCATGGGAGGGTGGCGGCAAGCTGCGCAAGGCCTCCGCCGCGACACACGACGCCCTAGCGCCCGAGGATCCCACTCACACAAAGCTGCCGAGAAAGCCACTGCTTTGCCTGCACGCCGCCACTGGCCAGCCACGCGCCCAGCCACCCAGCCAGCCCGCTGCCGCCACCCACCGTCTGCCACTTTGCCGATGGAGAGGCCGAGGGCGATGGAGGAGTAGCCAAAGGACATGGCCGTGGCCACCACCGAGGCCACCCAGCTCTCGTCCATGCTGGGCGTCTGGCTAAGCAGCAGCTGGCCGCCGGCAAAGATGAGGATGCCCTGCGGAGGGCAGGTGCGGGGGTGGTGGCGGTGGTGTGTGTGGTGTGTGCGGGTGTTGGTGTGGTTAGAGGAAAAAAGGGAGCAGGTGGGTTGCCATGTTGGCAGCGGCAGGGGTGGCAAAGGCGCAGGAGGAGTCTCAAGGGCCAACAGAGGGAGGCATGGAGGTCACAACAGCGACGGGCCAGGCCATCCTGCTTCCCCACCAGCGTCTTTCCACCCCGCCCCC